TGAACAAATAAAGTACATATTGAATGGATTTTGGAAAAGAAGGGTGCGAAGCAGGCAACACAAAAGAAAAAAAAAGCTAAGTGGAAAATTTTGAAGGGAAAAAAACTGAAAAATGAATGGTGTAGGCATTTCATGTCGGTGACGTGACTAGAACGCTACCATACGCCTGGGCGCAACAACGCCAGGCCCTTCGGTCCTGATTTGCATGCCTGCGTACTAACTCGTCGTTTGTTCCATGTATTTGCGAAACAAATTACAATAGTCAAAAAACAAATTGTATGGGGTAGGTAGACATTAAATTTGCAAAAAGCGGTATCACTGATTAGCTAAAGTCCAGAAAAATTAGTGCTGCATCTTCGCTTAAACGAAGTAACGTAGATTTTGTAAATACTAAGCCGATTACCGATTATCGGATATAACAAAAGCCGAAAAAACTTGTAATGGCACAAAGACTGGCCATGTAATGGCTGTTGGTAAAGCAAGGCAGCCACACGCCAGATACTTAGCAGTCATTTACAATGTATATCAGTTGCACAATTGATGTGTATTGCATGTTTGTACAAATCAAACATGTATTGGCTCTGATTCTTAACGCAATCATTTCTGAAATTAGTCTTTGCTTAGTTATTCGGTATTTGAAATTTGAACTTCCAGTTTTGCCGATTTTTGCTTTCCAGCCTTTCGGCATATTCAATTTTTAGGTGCATTTCTCATCTTTCAAATAAAATTTTTACATGCCACAGTCAATTTTCGTTTTATCTCTCTGTGCATCTCAACACTTTTTTTAATCCTATTTTACAAAAATGCCATCAGCTTATTACCTTTATAAAAGAGGAACATCCATAGACTTCCTGAAGGAAAGGTTAGTGCCAGTATGTACTATCATTTGAGCTATAAAAAGATATTTTAATTTGCCAGAGTAAGAGCAAGCAGACCACTCGCTTCATTTCTAAGTTCCAGTGTGGAATAATAGAATTGTAGTTCCCACCTGCCTATTTGGGTTGTTCTTTTTCTGTAGGGCCGTTGTTCGCCTTTCCACATAATTCAGTTGAGCTAGGCAAATTTAAATCATTTTGATGGTCACAAATGAATACAAAAAATCTCCCTTGAATTTCCGACTATAGTAATAATGATACATACAAAGTGGGCAAAAAATCATCATCAGCAAATACATGCATCTATGCACAAAAACCACATGTACCACAACATAGGTTCCAATTGTATTGTAAGTTATTTGAGAATGTCTTCTACATTTTGTGTATTATTACGATTTTTGAGGGAACTGAAGAGGGGTGAAAGCAAGTGTTTGCTTACCACAACCATCTGTCACTTTCATGCTATCCATTCTTTCGAGAAGGGCTAGAATGCTCATCGTCACAACTCATGCAGAGTGAACTCGCTCCTATTCGCGATCAATGTGAGCGAGCGAAAGCTTGAAAGTAAGCAAACACTTGAAAATTTGATCATGCTCCAAGGCAGACACATTCACAGCAATAGCACTTCAGAAAGCAATGAATGGGTGGGTAAAGTTTCGCGAAATTGACCCTTGAGAGCGCAATTCCGGACAACTTGAGCCCCAGAATGACGCCATGAAAAATTATACAGTATTTTTATCCTTAGAACTCCAAAACCTTCAAAGTATATAATATGTATACGCGTTAGTTAGCCGGCTGACGACTACTTCTTTTTGGAACACCTTTTATTTTTCTTTAACTAAAAAATTTTCGCATTTTAAAATTATGCTAAAGAGTGCTTATAGTCAAGTAAGAATTTCGAATATGTCTAACAGACTGTTCATGTACTGCACAACATTCCTTGTTTGTTAACTAAAACTGTATGGACGGAACCAAAAACAATGAAATCATACGTTCGGCTGTTCCAAGGAGGAACAGTCTGAAGGTTTTACTGAAGTCACCCACCGGTGCTCGTCAACACAACTCATGCAAAATGAACTTGCCCTAACTTTCATTTTATTTAGTAGTAAAAAGCACTAGTATGCACGAGAAAGTAAACGACCATTCCACCGAAGAGACATTGGACAGGCGATAATTACCGGCTGGAGGAGATGTGCGGCACACAATCGAAGGGTCTGGTACAGCTGCTTCCAACTTCTGGAAGCATTCTATTAACACTCGCATCCTAGAATGCCTATACTATTTGTCCAGGCAATTTTTTGTTCCGATTAGTTCCGAAAAGGAAAAATTGTTTAAATTTTGCTATTTTTTAAGTTTAGATGAACACACGCGTTCTGGAAAAAGCAGGAATATTTTGTTCTTTAGTGATACCGCTTAGCTCATTAAGAAAATAATACGGTAATCGAACTGCAAAATGCGGAAGAATGCGCTGGTTTTGAGGTGCAATGTTGAACAGTGTTATTAATTAATTTTGCATGATTCTGGAACTGTGTTTATTGCTAAAAAAAAACCTTTTTTAGACAAATTTGTCCGTTCGGAAAATCGAACTACAAAAGCTGAGGAAATCCCATTCAGGG